CATCCAACGAAGAGTGCAGAACGCATATATCTCAACATTTCCCGAAGAAAGCGCCGCTGACATACTGTTTAGTCTGTCGGGGGAACGCGAAAATACTTACATATAGTTCTTCACAATCCGGGGAACATTATGTCGAACATAAGCTATCCTCCTAATCTATGGTCAGATGATGTCCATCAGCACAGTCCCTTAATACCGTTCTGGTCACGAAACTGCTCCGTCACTCTATGGGAGAGCTTGATATGGTGCCAAGAGCGGCCGCTACGCGGAGCAAGCCGTCCTAGAGGGGCCATCGCCCCGCTGCGCCCGGCGGAACGCACTGGCCGCGGCGGCCTCCCGAAGGCGTTGTGTGGTGGCAGCTCGCGGTTTCTGCATCAGCGAAACGCGAACTTCATGTGCCAGTGCACCGTGCTCAAGGTGGACGGCATGAAAATTCGAATGAACAATGCCTAAGACGTGCTGTGTGACGGGTTGCAGCTCCGGATACCGAAGCAACAAAGAAGAGGCGTCACTCTTCTGTTTCCCAAGTAGCGCCGAACTCCGAGAGAAATGGAAGTGAGCTATACCGCGGTTGAAAGCTGGCGGTTTCAGCTTCGAAAGTAAGAACGTTCGGGTGTGCGAAAAGCGTTTTGATGCAAGCGACGTTGTGAAAACGGACGAGCACATCGTGAACGGGGTGGTCGTGTCGCTTCAGCGAGAGAGACCGAGGCTTCGCACGAACGCCGTTCCAAGAATTTTTGACGGGCTCCCGGCGTACCTGACAAAGCCGAAACCGCGTTCACGGCCTGCGACTCAGAGGCAACCAGCGAAGAGGCGGCGCGAATTGTCACCGTAATGCGCAGCAGTGGAATGCCAAAATGTCAACACCGACTCGGCAGGAGAAGTTTCTGTTGCACTTTTTAGGGACAACAGCTGTGGTTGTACACTTTTTTTTAGATGTAGATTACATTTCTTCACTCGAAAAAAAAAAACAAAGCCTCGCGGGCAACTGTGCGCAGTTCATGCCCTGCAAGTGGTGGGCGGAAGCCACAGTGTTAAGCATAATGGCTGTGTATGTGAGCACGCCTTCCCATTTGTATATAGTGTTGTATGTCTTGTATACATTACACTGTAATATTTTCGTACTATTCATATTTATCTGCATATAGTGTAAATAGTGTATATTCAAATACAGTTTATTTTAGGCAGTGAGCTAAGGCAGAGGGCAGCTGTTAATGAAACGAAATACACATTGTACAGTAGAGTCACAGATTGTGTAACATTGCTCAGAACAGCTGCAATAGTTTCTAGTGCTTTTCTTCTCCAAAGTGTTGTTCTCAGTGTATTTTGTGTAAATAAATGTTTTCCAACTTTCTCCCCATTACATGCACCATATGTGAATCTCCCATTCATAAGTACACACCTGACTACTAGGCGGCGTATCATTAGCACCAAGTTTAAGATTTATTGCATGCCTGAAATCATAAACGCCCTTCCCCCCTCCCACCCAAAAAATAAAAACAAATGTGTGATGAGGTACCTCGGTAGTGGCAGAGGCGGCCAAGCGACTAGCACTGGCATCAAAAGGAACTTCCAGATTAGGCTGCTGTACTTCCGTTCCCAGAGAATTCATGGGTTGTCGGCCGGTAAATAATAATGCCCTAAACAGTAAACACAAGGAAACGTCAAGCGGCGGGTGTCCCGTGTAAACTGCGTGGAAAGAAGTGATCAATCAAATGTTGGGCACGTTTAGAGCGGTCGCGAAAGCCCTCGGCATCGAAAGTCCCCGCGTCAAAAAAGCGATCGGCGCTCACAAACGTGTGTCCAAAACAACTGCGCATTTGGATATAAACTCAATTGAAAGGTCTGGAATAAAACTTCTGGCTCAACCATTCAGTTCATTTGAATACTTGGGTAGTAGCGCGCGAGAGGCGAGCCGGATATAAACCAATGTGATTGCTCCTGTACTACCCAGTCGTGTTTCATTTCGTTCACCTTCCTCCCCCTATTAGCGGCCCTAGCAGAATATAAAGCTCACCTACCGCATAAACATAATCGCCCTTTGGCCGGGCGCAAATACAAACATGTTGTCGAGCAGATCAAGCAGTAGCTGCTGGCATCAAGAGCATGGAGCATAAGCATCGTCTTTCAACACTTGCGAGCTATAGCTCGCAAGTACCGCTTCGAGGCATCGTAAGTATGCATATAATTGGGCTATGAGGCAGTTATTGACACAATGCGTTATTGCGCGGTGTGAGAACACTTTTAATGCGCTGCTGTTTATAAGGTGGGCCCGCACTTCCAAGTAAACTACGCGTGCGTTCCAAAGTAAACAGCTCTCATTCGTCGTCGACACTGGATCCCGTTTTAACTTATTTATCTGGTGGCATTGATGCGTTCAGAGGCGTTTAAAAAAAGGTAACAGGAAGAACAGCACGCACGTAATCGCGTCGAAACGTCGGCCGCAGTGCGCATACAAGCCCAGCAGTGGCGGCGGCTTGTGGCCCCCATACAACGGGTGGCGCCTCTAGCGACAGATTTTGTCCCTATATCAACCTTCGGGCGGAGTTTCGTGACCAGAAAAAAATTGAAGGACTCTGTCATCAGTTTCACGACGCCAGAAATACGAATAATCACAAAAGAGGAAAAGGTTAACTTATACAAACACCGCATCAAATCTCGTCTTTGCATTTGGATTGGACGTGTAAATTGGACGTTGCATTCATGTGTAAATGTCGCGACGGTCGACTAATGTGCTCCATGTAAAAAACGATTGTCTTAATGTTCGCCCCCACTGAAGAGGAAGAAAGGCTAACAGGCTTGCACATTTATTATATTTCAGCTCGTGTATCTTTTCTCTTATACGGTAATAGTTCTTACCTAAACGAGCTTATCTGTAAGATTCTCAGCTTTAGAGCTTTTTTTCATATAGCTTAAGCTTAATGACGTCCTCTAGTCCTCCAGCAACTAAGCTACGCAGGCTAAAAGCCGTCCGTCTTCATTAGGTTCTGCTTTGTTTTCACGCATCGTGGAGGGGGGGGGGGGAACTAAACTGATGGCCAGAGGCGGGCCAACAGCAAGAAAAAATGAGATTTATGGTTCCTGTTTCTGAGAACGCCGCACGCGCCGAATCTTGCCGAGAACGGGACAATCAGCATTTCCGGTTTACGTACGCGTCAACGTGTCACCGCCTCCTTTTTTTTTCTCGGAGACGAGCTTATCGCGTGTTGAGCAGCGCGCATGCGCAATCAGCTGCACCTCGCGACGCTTCGTCGCAGGAAGGGTTGGGTGCCGCGGTGCGCTTTTCTCCGCGCACATCTCACATGCTTGTCGCCGGCGACAAGGCCGAAATTAATGTCCACGTCGCATCGAAAGGCGGGCACGGGAGAAGAAAAATAGGTGCCCCTCACAAGCCTGGGAGCAAACCCCCTTACTGTTCTCCCGTACCCCCCTTTCCCTAGCAATGTCAGCCATACGTCGTCGACTTCTCCGTGGCCTACATACAAGAGTCGCGGCGCTTGCCATAGCCGCGTTTCTTAATGGCCCTTCGCGCGCGGACAATCCGTCTATGCCAGCTCTCTCTCTTTAACCGTTTCGGAACAAGTAGGAAAAAACCGTGCGCTTTTCCTTTGCTGCGCTCACAATCGCGTAAAGGGCAAGGCGGCGACAGACAGCTTGGCCACGTCACGCACAAAGACACTATTTGCCCGCTCTTTGGCGCGTCGGAGCGCCCGCCAGAAATCCGTGACCTTCTTCTTCGTGCGCCCCCTCTTCTTCTTCATGCCGTTCCGTCTTTCTGCCCCGGAGGCAAGGACGCCATCCTTTTTAGAAAACGATAGCGTCGCGAGCGAAATTTCATTTCTCTGAGTGCACGGCGGCGTTTCGCATATGTGTATACGCGGGCTGTGCAGCACGCGCGGAATTGAAGGAAACGCGCTGATATGTTCGTCGGTCTGCGGCAAAAGAGCGGCCAGAGATCAGCCATTTTGCCGAAGCTCCGAGATGTTTCTTGATTTCGGCCGGCTCTACGGGGCCTGGCTTTTGCTTTCTTAATTATTTTTTGTTCGCTCTCCGTCTTTTACTCGACGACGTTATGTGGATTCCCGGCGAAACGAGATTGAGTGAGCCGTCTGCTTTCGCGGGATCTGTTTGATGTTTGCCCGTCTGCTGCATTGAGTGGACCAGCTTTGTTTTGCGATAACGTCATTTTCGCGGAGTTTAATCATTTCCTTTAGATTTCACTTGATGTGATGCCTCTTATCTTTTCGCTACTGAGCAATCGAGGCCCGATGGCTTAAGCAAATCGCTCTACGCTGATCACTGTGGTTCAGTGGTTGACAATAAAGGGTACCTTTAAGTGAAGGTCTTAACGTCTTTAAATTGATGAATATTCTATAAAGAGTCTCATCTTGTTATTTTCACCCCTCTAGGTTCATGAATAAAAGAGTGAAGTGGGGTTCAATGTTCCTCAATTGAATTTCATGCCAAAGTTCACTACCTGCTGTCAGTCTGACATCACAAATTACAGTAGCTCATTGTATTTTTCTGATCAGTGTGGTTTGCTGGAAATAGCTATTCGTTTTTGTATGTATATCTTTAGAAACAGTGTAATTAAATTTTATAGATTAAGAATCAGGTGAACGTAGAAGACTCCCCCGAAATCTATAACGTCACGACTGGTTCGAACAGGAGCCTTAAGGCGGCGTTACCACCTGTGCATATTTTTTGTGGATTTTATTTGGTTCGTTGGCGAGCGCGTCTTCTGATGGCCTTTTGGTGTTACGATGAAGAAATTCACTAATACCAGGAAAAACATGTTGTTGGTATTTACAGTGATTAGTCATCGAGTATTCTGCCGGTCATTGCCGGTCTTCGCCGGTCATCGTTTACGGATGAAATAGCACTTATCAGTTCAGGCGTTGGGCTGTGTCGTGGTTGAAATTCGGTGATGTTCACGCTGAATATTTTTTTCTTTCCTTCTCTATAATGGCTCTTTGATTTATTATTATCATAATCCGCAGGAGCGAAACATGAAGATGTTCTCCTGCTACGCTGTCAACCAAGCCCTCGGAGACACGGTTGTCGAAACTGCAGCTGTCAGCATCCTGTGTAAGTGCATAGGAATTGTTGCATTCTCGTCATTATTATAATTTCGAGTGCTGATTGTTTGAGGGGACGTGGCCTCGATAAGGTTTCGTAACGCTGCCGTATGCTGCTATTAGATATTTTAAAATAAAGTTACACTTAGCGTATGCATTGGTTTGAGTGAGTGCGTACGTATAGGCCTGCGGCATAGACGTTTAGAAGAACGATACTGAGTATTGAGAATCGCAATGTGTAGCCTTGCTCCAAAAAGTTTTGTACGTGTTAACAATAAATACCGAACAAAAAGAGCAAATTACGAAAACTACGGTATGAGGCACGATAGTAAGAGAACGATACGATTTAGATTTCATAACAAAAACCCATCAAGGTGCACCATTCGTGAGCCTAGTAAAAAAAAAAAAAGCTTTGTTGCGGGATGTGTTCTCACGCCACATAATGCTACGTAAGAAACACAAGAAAGAAGTCAATTACACGTATGCGCGTAAACCACACAGCATGTCGAATGGTACGATGCGTTCGAGAAAAATCGCTCCTACAATGAGTGATTTTCGTGCACAAAAGTGCCCGCTGGTCTACAAAAAAGTAGTTACCATTTCACAAACAAATTCTAGATGGCACCAGATATCGCGCCCATGGGTACAGTACACAGTCACCAAAACCCGCGATATCTGTTTTTTTTTTACTACACCTAGTTCACTCATGCGCAGGTGAAGAACAATCAATCAGTTGACAACGTAGATCACCAGACATGACGCCACGTTCAGTCACATTGTGACAAACTTGAAGTCGTTAGAGTCGCGATTTGTGTGGGAATGTGCGTATGTGTAAGTGCGTGCACGCGTTTGTGTGTGTATGTGTGAGTGTGCGTGCGCTAGATTGCGCGTGTGTGCATTTGTGAACTTTAGTTCCTTAGCCTTTGCTTTGCTGAGGCGTCAGACGTAGACGTGACTGACGCGTGTACGGGTTTGTGTTCGTTCACAACCGCAGATGCCCCCGAGGCCCCACGCATTTTCGGGTACACGGAAGGAACCCCTATTCGTGCGAAGACGCTGCAGCACATAACGTGCGTGACGAACGGCGGGAACCCGCTGCCCACCGTCCGCTGGTTCAAAGGAACACAACGGGTGAGTCACCGATCCTGTACTAATTATCTCAAGGTGTAAATAGTCACTGCGCCCGTGCTGATCAAGTCAGTGAACGGTGGTTGAGGCAAAGCTTAATTTATGACGTGCTTTTGTTATTCTTCCTGCTACTTCCTTGTGTGCGTGGTGAGATGGCGTAGAAGACATAAATTGGCCCAATAATATGAAATATATTATTATTATTATTATTATTATTATTAGTAGTAGTAGTAGTAGTAGTAGTAGTAGTAGTAGTAGCAGTAGTAGTAGTAGTGGTAGTAGTATAGTAGTAGCAGTAGTAGTGGTATTACCGAGGAAAGGCGTCCTGTTGCTTCAATGCCCGGTTAACAACAAAGATCCATGTAAAATAATCACAATTATTTGAGCTGGTATGAAATGATTACAATTTAATGAAATTCAGTGATCAGCAATGATATCACAAGAGTGGTTTACCGGGTGAGTTGGTGCAACATCACCGCAGAATTCAATTAAAGAAAAATAAACAATCAGGGCAACCCACGTACACAGCGTGAAATTTAAACTGAACTTTACTGAAAAACCCACTCATGCGTACTCTTAAAGAGAGCCACGTTGCCAAGCCTTAACAGCAAGATACAACGCTTCATTTTATGGTTACCGCACAGAAATCATAGGGTACTTTATGCTTCTAGGTGGTGATTTTTACGAAAAATCGCAATATCTTTCGTAGGATGAAACATCATACAATCCGTAAACTCGCAAATATTTTTTAAAGGTGCTGTGACAGTAGCGTACAAATTTTCTATTACTATAATTTTGTAAGACGGCTTGATCGAATCTTTTAATACACGGCTTTCTTTTTTTCTCTCTTTCTTTATTTTCTTCTTTCTTTCTTTTAAGAGTAACAACGCTACTGAACTTAAGTTTTTTGCTTATTTTCTTAATAGATTTCATTGTTCATCATTACTCACGTGGAGCTTTAATCTTATAACTCATCAAAACATAACGAAAAAAATTAGACTGCCATATCCCGTTTTGTTTTTAATTAAGATAGAAGTGAAACTAAGGTGTCCTGACGCGTTTAACTTAAATTCTTTCTGTTGATTCCGGCAGCCTTTAACGAAACGTAACCTGTTCAAGAAAGAGTGCTTTGCCGCACGAAGCCTCTTGCTACAGGAAAGCTTCCATTTCACGTTCAGGAGTGTCGGTTAATCTTTTCTCGCAATGCAGCTTCCACTAGTTTTAGTTAGTACAAGTTCATGACTTTCAATCTGTCGTCATAATGACTTGCACAGCGTTCCAAAAGAAGCCGCTACCTGGTATTTACGCTGAATAGCGGCTAAATATAGCTAGCTTTATTTACTTTGTTGAGCAAGGAGTGTTAATAAATCCTCCTAGGAGCTCGCCGAACAACTTTAAAAAAAATCTCTTTGCAGATTTCTTCATTACTGATGCTCACATCTCTTTTATTGACATTATATGCGTTATTTTTATTTTGACTTACTATCTTCGCAACAGGAAATTTAGTGATAAAGTGATGTTATATTGGGTCTGACCGAGAGACATAAGATGACGCGTTGCGAGATATAGAAAGCTCCAGTCTCCGGTCTCCGATTCCTTTAGTTCGACATTTATCAATCATTGCGCAACTGTGTGTGTTGAACCAGAAAGTAATTTAGTTTATGTTCCCTATTTGGCTATATTTGGAGATGTTACTGGTAAATTAATGCGGAAGGATTTATCTTGCCTGTAACGACGAAAGTTTGGACAGAGTATATATATAATATATATATATATATATATATATATATATATATATATATATATATATATATATATATATATATATAAATAAGTACTAAGAGGGCTGGATATAGAAAAAAAAATGTAACAGTGGTTGTTAGAACTATCCTGGTTTTGTAATGAAGTATGGTTGTAGTCGACAACAAATGAAGCATAATCTAATAGCTAATATGCATGAAAGTTTATTACTTGAATAAACATATCGGTGCAAGCAATGCAATAGGTAACCTTTCATAATGGTATCTCTGGGCCTGCTGTTCTGGCTTATCTTACTGCTGTACATAAATTAGGTCCTTATATCCAAGCATATATGGTCCGTCAGTTGTTTCTTACGCCAGCAACGAAGAAAGGAAAGATTACGATGCATCGAAAAAAAATTCAATTTCCATGACTCTCGAGCTCTTGGCTCACAAGTGTCGTCTTTCGTTCTTCGTTAAGTTTTAAAAGCGCAAATCTCGTGTGCCTTCTTGAGGCCTTCCTTATCTTCAGTGCGCGTCGTCTGTTGCTCAAAAGCTATGAATGATACAATTGAGTTCGTGCAGAGTTATCTCCAGTTTCAGCGGGTGTACGAACAACGTTCGAAGCTAACGTGACTGGAAAAAGAAATAAAATTTATTATTATTTGTTGTTCGAAAGCGCTTTTATTGTAGAACTCCCTGTTGACGAGAACTTGAGATTGCGGCATAATATGAAGGTGTGATAGGGGGTAATATTTATTTTTCGATTTGTTTTACGGCTTCTTTTCAGTCTCCCCACACGATAGGAACTATAACAAGATTAGTGTTTACAATGGGACTATTTTGAAAATCAACTGCCAGAAGAAAAATTGAAGTGTATGAACTCTTTTTGTTTAGTATAGATGTCTGTGTTATAATGAACAAGAAAAATAACCACCTGGACTTGTGGAACATTATTCACATTATCTGTGGTGTACATTGTAGCTTTACTTTGTAAAACAATGAAACAAAGAAGGTGCGTAGGTTCGTGGAAGCATGGGTTTATACAGGAATCTACAGCGACAAGCGGCGATGTAAAAGCACAATTCGAGGTCTCTCTGAGTGGTGCGACTTATATGTGTTACATCGCGCAAAATGAATGAATGAATCAATACTTCAATCAATCAATCAATCAATTAATCAATCTTTAGCGTCGGTGGCGTAACAATAACACGTGGAGAAAAATCACAACGAAGTTTTAGGATCGCAACTAGAACCACCGACTTTAGGACACTCATAAACTATCGAAGTGAGCTCATTGAGTCCACTTTAACTTCAGCTGCGTCTATATGTGTGCAGGTGAACTCGACGTCAAAAGCTAATGGGAATTCGGTGACCTCGGAAGTGGCCATCGTTGCACAAGACTCGGACAACGGAGCGGAGTACCGCTGTGAGGCGTCCAACCCGGCAACGAAGAAGGCCCTCACGACGAGCATCAAGCTCACAGTTCACTGTGAGTGTGACCCGAGCTGCTAAGATTCTGCGATGGCGTTAATTGCTGTATCGAAACGCATGACACATGGACTCTGTGAAGCGAATACAATGCGTTCTTTTTGTACGCAGTTCCACCGCCTGCTGTGACTATCAAGATTAAGCCACGAAAGGCGAGGTCTGGACAGAAGGTGAGTCTCCTATTAGAAGCCCTACTTGGCAAAAGTGATGAATTTCCTGCCTGTAACGGCAGTTTGATTACTTTCGGTAATCTCAAAAAGAAACATGTCGTCTTGATTGATCTCAGAATATCTTTATTCATAGATTACTATATTTTTTATGCTTATTAAAAAAGACCACGTTGAGAATGTTTTAGCGAGGATACTTGTTAGATATTTAATATACTGTTAAAACCTGTTTTTAGTGTGTAATGTAAATGCAGTGACGGGAGCAATTACCTAAATTTCGTATGTGTAGATTTGCGAAAAATGAATGAAATTACAACTGAAAGACTCTTGAAAGGTGTTTCGAATTATTGATAATGCAAGCAGTCGAAGGCACAAGCAAGGCACATGAACACACACACACAAACGTCTGGCAATAGCGAACTGGTTGCTGCCACTCTGCTAATATATTAAGAATCTTCGGAACCAATCTTCCATATGTTAAGAGAAGTGAAAAAAAAAAGAACTTTTTTTTTCCTCAGTGTGGATGTTTTACGGTACAATTTTTCCTCGTGAGCATAAGCAATACATTCCGCAGCGCACACAGCTGTGGCGACTAGAGCTGTGGTGCTGCACAGATCCCAGAATACGCGCACGTGAGAGCTCACTGAATGCTTATCTGTGAACAGAGGAAAAGCAGGGAGGTCTACTGGATGCATGTTCGATTTGATATAACACCCAGTCGACAGGATATGCGTGAAGGAGGGAGAAAGAGTTGCTATTAGAAAGGAGCACGTGTGCCTGCGAAGACGAAAAATATGCCGCATTGAAGATGTTGGTAGTGGCATTTTCAAAATGAGGTTTGCTTAAAGAGATTTCGGAGTCTAGCTGAGGCTTCTACTATTCGAGTTACATCATGACTTACATTACGAACTTGTTAATGACACTGGTACCAAATGAACGTTTGAAAATTCCATTTACAACAGTAATATTCAGATGCTGTAAATGTTCACACGCTAAAAACATCCACGCTTTATTGAAGAGTTGATTATCGGGATCGCATCAAGGTGCTAACAGCGCCTGCCCGCACTTCAAACATAGCTCTCATCAAGTGACCGTGCCTCCAATGACAGCTAACGCCATCTTGCGCATCGTGCAGCTGACGCTGACTTGCGAGACTGGCTCGAGCAACCCGGCATCCGTGGTGAGCTGGTGGAAGGACGGCCTGCAGCTCTCCGGTGCGGTGGATGAGCCGTTGGTCGATGCGCCGTTCGGAGGCAAGGCCTCCAAGAGCGTGCTCGTGGTCAACGTCACCGCCGATGATAACGAGGCTAACTACATGTGCCAGGCGACCAACAAGGCTCTACAACTGAGCGTCCATGACTCGGTCTTCCTCGACGTCACCTGTGAGTGCACCAGTTGGCTTTATTCTTCGTGAATTGGTGCGGAGTGGTTGAGAGAGGGAACACCTCGGCTACTCGATTAATCCATAGCGTGCCGCAGAAATTTAAAACAAATAAGTGCACGAGGCAAGTTAATGAATAAATGTAACGCAACTAAGCTTGATTTCCTTTTGAGTACGCGGGACTAAGAGCCCGGAGTACTTTTACAATTCTGAAGGCATGATATGTGTGAGCAAGTCATAGTAACAAACAACATATAAGTGTCACAAAAAAGTTTGCCACAGGTTAGTGTTGCGGCTGCTTCGAACTTTGAATTATACTCAACAGGGAATATACAAGCAGGTGGTCTGCGTAACACGGATGTTGTTATGTTCACCTTTAATATTCCTCACAGTGAATGTTTCGTTGCTATGTCACTTTGCCACTGAGATGAACGATGTAAGTCAGCCTTCCTAAATTTTAATCGGATTCCTGTGGTTGTTTAATAAAACCGCTTTACGAGAAGCTCTGCTGTATCTGTTTTTTTAGTAATATTGTTCGAACCTCTTCTTACGATGCGACGAGCCTACACCGTAACTGAGATTTAACTGTACTGACAAACGAATACCCCGAGCAAACGAAAGCGGCACGATCCTGACGACACTCGTATACTCTATATGTACAACAATCGAGTGCATTAAAATTCTCCAGACTGTAAATACGTATACACACCATACTTGAAGTGAGTTCGGGACAGCATCAATGAACGTTTTCTTTTCTGCGTCTTTCCTACGCAGTGTTATGTATACTTCACTTCGCAAACCAGCAGTTCCCTCGGCGCTACTTCAGAACGGCGCGAAGCGTCCTTTTCGGCGGCAAACAGTGAAGCCGGAAGATATTACGTCGAGAGCTCGGGAAGAAAATGGCGTGCGTGTCGACAACGGCAACCGCGTCCATGCGCATTGAACCAGAACAACGAGATTTGTTCCTGACTCGCCGGTTCGCAAGCAGCCTCGGCATCGTTCTCGTCTCTCCTTTCGCGAGTGGGGGAAGAATGGCTCTCCTTCTCCAACGCGGAGAGCAACCAATATAAGGCGCATATTGTGAAGGGGGGCCGCTGCGCCCGACTCTTCGAGGCGCCGGAGCGCGCTGTTTGTTCTCCCGAGAAAGACTCGAGAGCTTCGCCACACTCCTTGCCATCACAAAGGAGAAGAATGCATTACGCGCGCTAGCGTGGATAGAAAGGGGTGCCGCACTGACTGTGGGTTTTGAAAGCCTGAAAGGAATGCTCACGCGCGATGTTCGGAAGGGGCAGGCGTAACCAACCCGCATGCTGATGCGCATTTGCCAATCTAGCACGTCGTTTCGCCCGTGCGCCACGCAAAAGGAAACCACCCCTCTTGGCAAGCGTGCCAAAATAAACGGAGAACCGGCAAAACAGCAACAATTATGGAGGATGTCGGCGATAAAGGCGAGACGCCGGAGCAGACGTTGCGTGGGAAACAAATGCACCAGATGGGGAAAAAACAACTTTTCCAGTGAGGCCGCCGGAGTCGGGGGCACGCCTTACTGCGGCTTCGGTTCTTCGCCGACGCTGGGTTCACTTAGCGCTCCAGTCGTCGGTCAAGAAGAATGCGCACTCTGGCGGACGAAAAGCGCCACCCGGAGAAGGGGGCTCCACACTTTGCGCGCACGTTCCTGCCTTGAAAACAACAGTTCTGGGTGGAAAGTAGATGCTTTGGGGAGGACCGCTTCTCTCTTCATCCCTCTTTCTCTTCTGACACGCGTGGGGATGACTTGCCTGCGAAACGTATAAGCTTCACGAGCTTGCTGTAGTGGTGGTGGTGATTTTTAGAGAGACGCCTGCGAGCCCTGTCTTACCTCCTCGAAAGAGCCCCCAGCGTCTCTGCTCCCCAGCGCTTCCCCCGTCCTTCCTGCATTTGCTATCAAACTTCGCTAAAAGGGCGCCACGCTAGGGAAGTGTCCGTGGGAGGGCGCGCCCGTTGCGCTAACGCTCGAGATGCTTCTCCCCAGCATCCGGGGTTGTTGTGACAAGATCGCTCGTTTCTTTTGTTGTGTGCGCGTCACTTCAGTCACGCTCCGTTCATTCTGGTTCCTTTTTTGTTTGTTTGTTTTATAACCATCTTGCAGAGCCAGTCAGAACCAGAGCGTTATCTTTAGCAATGTGAAGCGCACTACATTTGATCGGCCACATCCTCGACGGAAAGCGGATGCCGTTAGCAACGGCTGACACCCGCGTTTTGAGTAGCTCGCTCTTACTTTTAGTTTCGTCGTTTGTTCGCCTGAGAACTGCGGAAGGACACGCGGGAAGCGCTGGATCTGCGCACTTCCTGAGTCCCTATGGCTCCCGCATTGACTGTGAAAGCGCGAAGCCAATTAGGCCGTGCGAACAGGGCCAACATCCACGGTATAATGATGTCGCAGCATGACCGCATGTTTGTCTTTTCTTTTTCGCCGGCTGTTACTGGCAGGTGAGCAGTCGCTTCTGAAATGTTCGCGTGTTCTCTCGTTGTGGCATATAGTTTCGCGACGTCATTTTGTTAGCTATGAGATTGAGGCTAGTAATGCTAACTGCCGTGAAAATTCGGCATCTGTGCGATAAAACCGGCTATGAGTCATGGCAGCTATACACACTTTTCTTGTAAATCCACAATCGGCCACGTGTTGATGTCCGAGTCAAATTGTAGGGAGTTGTAGCTTTTGCAATAATCAATAAAAATTTTGTGGGTACGCGTTTTAGAAGAGCTTCATTATGTAATGCTAAAGTATGAATTGTAAAAGTGCTCTTTACTTACACCACGTTTATTTCTCTCTATGCTACCCTATATCTTGTGCACTGGCGAAAGCCAAGAAAAAAAATAGATATAGACAAACACCACAAGAGAAGACAATTTAATTGAGAAGAACTAAAAGAGAGAAGGACGTAATACCAATTAGTGAACACAAATGAGTGTGAACACGAGTAAGGACCGTTGATTAGGAACAGATGATGAGGACGTATCTCCTAAAAATTCCACGGACTAAACAAGAAAATCTAATAATTTTATCTAAATATAATTCCTAGAGCCCGTACCACCTTCATTAGGAAAATTTTTCTTCGGGCACGCCATTGTGTACAGCTCTCCTTGCGATTTGTATCGGCTTCATTGTCGCAATTAACGTTGCATCGCTCTTTTCACCATTTCTTTTCGACCTAGACAAGCCCGAGTTCTCGATTGGGCCGCTAGAGCGCTTTGACATCGTCGAAGGCCGCTCGCTGGTCATCAACCTGACGGCGCAGGCCAACCCGCGCCCGGTCAGCTACACGTGGACCAAGGGTGACCGGCGGCTGCCCACGGCTCGGACCTCCAGCCGATCGGCCTCTTCCTCCAATGCGGCGCGCGTGGTGGCCAGCGGAGCGCTGCTTAACCTGACCGGCGTGGAGCGAAGTGATGGGGGTGTCTACGAGTGCGAAGCCACCAACAGTGAAGGTTCCACCAAGGTGTCCATCCTCATCAACATCCAATGTGAGTCGTCACGCGATGAATAAATTAATGAATAAACGAAGGAATTAATGAATGAAATGAATGCATGTTGTTTATTGTCGCAGCGTTACAGGGTATTATGCGAGATTTTGGGAGGAAAATGCTGTAATTTACATATTCCAGGAAAGCAGAAGGCCAGAGGATGGTGGCAGAACAATGTGGTGAGAAATTCTCAGATACGGGATAGCCTTGCATCGGACTATTTGCTATTTACTAATATATCGCAGTGTAAAAAAAGTTAAAAGCTAAAGAAATAAAACATAAGAATATGAAGGAAGGACAGCTGCTACAGTCTTTTAAAAGTAGCCACAGCCTTTCTTTTATCTCCTTCTCCCGTTTTCTTCTTTCCACCCCATACTTCGCGCTACAGTAATATGTTTGGATATGGAGTGGCGCAGGAGCAAACTTTTCGACAGTTCTTGCTGCTGGCTTCATGAAGACGAATTCGTTGTCGAGAGACTGGGTCTAACAACGGCCCACGTCGAATTTTTTTCTTTTTTATTGAGACAGCCTGATGCAGCCGTGTGCACCCTCACATACCCTATGCTAACAGCAGTGGTTCAGACTTTGAGCATGACGTTGGATACTCACATCAAAACTTGTTTTTCACTGTTTCGGCTCTTTTATCCGCGATGAAACATACATGAAACCCAACTCCCCTTTCATGTTTTTACGCTTTAAACAAACGTTTATTCTAGTTAATGCAACACCGAGTTTAGTTTGCAACCATTTTTCTAGCACCCGCGTCGACTCCCGTTTGAACCAGGTTAGCGTCGTGCGCACCGCTGCTGCTTCGCATTCCATCAGGGTTCCCTTCGGGGAGATGGCCCGCGATTTTTGTTTGGACGTATTTGGTATTCGACACATTAATTGCCTTTGGTGTACTGCCTCAACGAAAATTACAGACGACAGATTTCTTCTGAACTTTTTCTTTTACGAAGCGATGGAAGTACTGTCCGATGAAAGTACGATGTGGTGCAATAATCTGACAGGTGTTTGCGGTGCACTAGACCCCCTCCCCCCTTCCCCCTTAGTGTCAATCTCCCGTTTAGGCGTTAGTATACATTACAGCTTCGAATGGTACCAATAAATACAATGACGTGTAGATATATACTTTACTGAATCTGCATCTGTTTGGTTTACCTTTTGTGCGTGTTGCTCATTCATTAATTTTCAGCGGAGTAGCTACAAGTTCAACATCATTTCTTGTGCCTTTCTAACATGATACTCGTGGTAAACGTAGAATTAGAAGAAGAGCAGTGTAGTTATAGCTAGAGTTACTGAGTGAATAGAAGTCGCATAGAAAAATTAAATATCAAAGAACAAACGAAACATGAGTGTGAGGGCTCACACACATTGTCTCTCCACCATACAATGACTATACCATAACATATGCTCTGTCAAGTTCACAGATACATAAGTGAACATAATGAACGTGGCCTTATCAGAACTGCTTCCTAAATCAGAACTCATTGTGAATAAATATCGAATTGTGCACCACAAAATCCTTGCAATGCCGTCAATTCAATGAGATGGACTGTTTAATTCATGTGCAGTTAGTTCTGTTTTTTAAGTATGCGAGAAATTTGCTATAATCAAAGGTTTGCCATACCTAAGGCTGGTTATCCTAATAAGATCGTCAAGAAATTAAGGAGAAAGAACAAAGATAACGAAAATACAGAGCGTTAATGAATGTCAATGTGAAAAGAGCTCAACACTAACGAGGCAACTTCGTGGATACTACGGCAAATGAAACAACAAAAGTAGTCCACAAGGCTTACATTTTAACGTATTATGTTGAAATTTTACATTTTTCATCTTTCAAGTAAACAAAATGTAAGCTATACTTTAATGATTTCCTTCTAAATCCATCCGGTTTTTGGCCAGTTTATGCGACAAATACGAGTATCTGTACTATACACTGCTTCAGATGAACACGATCATTGCACATTAATGTAAAACAGAGAAAAAAAATGCGCATAAACTGCCGTTAATGTTTTACTTTATAATCGTAAGTATGGCCCATTCCCCTCGAGGTTTTGAGCTAGTTTTCATCAGGCAACACGGAAAAAACAAAGGCCGTTAACAAGTAGCGCACTGTGTAGATGGGGAACTTTTGTCTAAATGAGATACCTAAATTCGTATCATAACGGCGTCATGACTAAGCTTAAAGCACTGCACAAACAAAGGGTGCGTCTAAGACTAACTTTTCTTTCTAGTTTCTCGTATCCCTGACCCCGCGTTGGTGTGCTTGCCTTTTGAATGCTCGCGCAGATGGCGCCGTCATCAAGGCTGTCACCGAGACGGTGATCATCGACGCCGGATCGAGCGCGCAACTCGAGTGCGACGTGGACGCCAAGCCGTTCAACGACGACACGGTCTCGTGGCGCCGGCCGGGCTTCGACATGAGCCGCACGCGCCAGATGATCAAGGACGACATGCGATCCATCTTCACCGTGTACAACGTGTCGCGCGAGGACTCGGGGCCCTTCGACTGCGTCGCCCACAACGGCATCGGAGAGGAGGCCGTCAAGACTGCGAACCTCATCGTCAAATGTGAGGAACCCGTCCCGGCTCGTGCATGCACGTGCTTTAAGTTTTTTTTTTTTTGTGGATTCGCCCTGCTACAAGACGCGTTTCGAAGAGCGCTTTGGCAGTGATTGACAACTCGGGGCCAATTTTGAGGAAGTGTACACAAGGACGTCGTGCATATCGCGGCCGAAATTTTGTGCGCTTAATATTCACGATGTTGAATGTATGCACTGACGCGGATACTGGTGGAAATGTTTTTTTTTTCTTTTTTCTATTCGTGAGTCAACTTACTTAAAAATAATGCTTGTGTTTACCGACTATCAAGCCAATAAGGGGCCTAACTGTTAAGGAGGTTGTTGCCACTAATAACGTGTAGACTTTGCTACGACTTCTCAAAAAAGCTCCTCCAACGAAGCGTCGCTCACGAGCGTAACTCGGTGACAGTGACATAAGTTGGCACAATTCGTCCAATTAAGCCTCATCTTTAAATAAGCTGTATGTGGTGTCGTATTTTATGACTGAGAACGATACATTGTGCTGCATCGTCAGGCGAGAAATATTTGTTTTGGAATCCTTCTCACAAAATCCTAAGTACAAACTTGGGTGGCATTATAACTCGTTCTTTCTACTCAAGCTGGTGACGTTTCCCCGCAGGAGACGTTTTACCGGATAACACGAGGACGCACAGCAATAGCCTCTTTTGTTTATAAATATTACACAAAACTATTACAACTCTAAGATAGTGTCTTAAAATTGTCCTAAAATTGTACACTTTCTTAAAATTGCAATAATACGTTTTTTTCTATGCAATGTTGTATAAACAAAAGAAGCTATTGCTACGCGTTTGTAGAATACTACATAGAAAAAGACATATTAATACAATTCTAAGACAGTGTACTGAGTGATATGTTTGATTTAACGTTTCAAAACTACCATATGGCTATAAGAGACACCGTAGTGGAGGGCTGCCGAAAATTCCGACCACCTGGAGTTTTTTAACCTGCACCCAAATCTGAACACATGGGCCTACAGCATTTTCGCCTCCATTGAAAATAAAATGCAGACACCGCAGCCGCGTTTCGATCCCGCGACCTGCGGGCCAGCAGTCGAGTACCTTAGCCACTACACCACCACGGCGGGACGACAGTGTACTAATGGTCGAGGCGATATCAGCAGACTTCTGAATGTGGTGTTGTGGAAAAAAAATTGCAAAAATAACAACAAAAGAAACCCGCATAATGCGCAAACGTCGCAAAATCTTCAAGGCTAGTTCTTTTCAAAATGTGGCATCATTCACCGCGAAGACAATGGGTGGACAGCTGTTCTGTTGAAACAAGTTTTTCACTTGAACCACCATATATAAAAGAGACTCGTGTAGAGTGACGACGTTGATATACGAAGGGAGGCTGGCAGTCAACTCATTTAGACTCCATCTCACGTAACTCTACAAACAGCCTGTGCAAGAGAACACGGCCGCTCCAGGTAGACTTTCGGCACCGTTTTTTTTTTCTGTGCGTGTGTTGAAAGCGAAGCCCGTAGAAATTCCCGCCTGCTGTGCGGGCACAAGGCGCGCGCTGATCGTTGCCGCGATGGCGCGGTAACCGTACCCGCCCCCCTGTTTGCTGGCGAGATAAGCGCGCGCGCGCAGACGAGCTCGGACGGAAAGGCGGTGTGCGCTCCGCAGAAAGAGGAGGCTAGCACATTCTTTCTTGTATATATATACATACATATACGTATACGTGAATGACGTCGGCAGCAGCGACGGCAAAAACCAGCAAACACTTATTTAATTGCTATCGCAATAAAAATAGAAGTGCACTCAGGGCTGCAGAAAAATGACGGCATAGAAGAACGAAATTTCAAAAAGAAATTGCAATAGACTCCACACAAATACAAAGTTTGGGCAGTTGATTTTCGGCCTTGAGGAAAAATAAAAGGAATGTTAACACATCTGTGGTTGTTAGTACCAAAACGTGATTGCGGCAATGTTGGAGTAAATTCTATTTTAACAGGTGGTGGAGAACTAGTGTTTCGTGCGACATATTCCGGTTATTATGTTTTTATAATAAAAAGATGTGCCTCGAAATTGGCAAGAATTTCACAGACTTCGCGGCGTCAGCTGTCGTGCCATCTTCAAAGGAGATCCTCTTGCATTCACGCCGGGGAGCTTAGTGCGCGTGCTAAACAAGGTCGAAAGAAAAAAAAAAGGGGGGGGGGGGGAAGCGTTAATTAGCTAAGCTGGTTTAGGCGCACCTGTTCCATCTGTGCTGTGCTTTCCCCGTTTACTATACGCAAAAAGGTTAGTTCCACAACTATGTCAAACCCATTCATACACGTTTCCGTTTTAATGTAATATGCGCAACTAAGCACAAATTATGCGTTTCGCTCACAACTTGAACGTGCGCCACTTTATGTGCAGTCCGACCGAAGATTGACCAGAGTCCACCCCAGTTGAAGGCAGCCGGCCGTGAGGGTGGAACTGCCGAGTTGTTGTGTCGTGCCCAAGCAGCGCCCAACGCCACGTTCTCGTGGTCCCGAGAGGGCGTCGTCATCACCGCCTCGTCCCCGCAGCCGGACAAGTACGACGTGTCCTTGAGGCAGGTCGACCTGCTCACCTTCGAGAGCACGCTGCACGTGAAGAACATCCGCTCATCCGACTACGGCCACTACGAGTGCGTGGCCCGGAACGAACTCGGTTTTGACAGCGCCAAAGTTCACTTGGACACCCTCAGTGAGTCACTGTTCTCACATCCATGCTCATTATTATTAATTCCTATTGATTTAAACATGTGTGAGGCTGGATTTCAGAAGTACAATGACAAAAAGAAATATGCACGAACGTAGAGTAAGGAAGGACACAAAACTGCGATCGACGTATCCCCAGGGATGAAAGATTGGGCGTTCAAACACTGATGTAAAGTAAAAGTGAGGGCAACAGCTACAATGAAAACCCTATCCAGTCAATCCCTGCGAACTAGCTCCACTTTCTGTTATTCTAAACTTATGCTGTAATTTTACTTTCTGCGGGTTTTACGTATATAATAAGCTAACTGGATCAAACCAAATGTTTAGATCACCTATTTATTCCAGGCTGCTTCGCAGAACTATCTCTGAGGTTCTTTGATTCTTTAAATGAGGTTTTGCAGTTTATATTTGATTATAAAGATAAAACAAAGTATTGTATCGTCACTTAGAGCAATTGGCTATTCCTCTCTAGTGCTGGGTCTTCTGCTATGTACATTGGTTTCATGGTGTACCTTTAATTTGGTCTCCACGTAACAATTTATGTGCATAGCTTTCTGGTTAACGCTGTGGTTTAGAAGTAATGCGTTGTCCCAATGTAATTCCTGTCCATCGTCGTCGCCAGGTGCGCCTGACCCTCCGCTCCAGCTGAAGGTGACCAACGCCACGTACAACAGCCTGACGCTGGTGTGGCGGCCGGGTTTCGACGGCGGGCTGCCGCAGTCCTTCCGCATCCGCTATCGGCAGGTGGCCTCGAGCGAAGGCTACCACTACCAGGACGTGCTGCAGTCCAACCTGACCAGCTACACGGTCGGCGCTCTACGACCCGACGCGGAGTACACGCTTGGCATCATGGCCTTCAACGACTACGGAGAGGGGGTAGTACCTCAAGGACATCGTCAAGGGAAAGACCACTGGTGAGCTTTGCTTGTTTGCTCTTATGAGTCAGGCGCTGCGCCGTGCTCCCTACCGGGCTGCCGAAAGTAGCGTCTTCTTCCTCTTATAACCACTACCACCACCAGCTTATGAGTCATGTTGGTACTTAAGAGCGCGAGACAGACAAGATGTAATAATACAGAAACGAGCGCTCACCTCAAATTATTTATTCACAAAAACTAGCTAGGCTTTTTCTAGATCGTACATAGAAACGCATGCTTGAAACCACAAGTCTAAAAAGTGAAGGACAGCTATCACCTTAGAGTTCAAATAGAAAAAAACCGCGACGTACGCAATACACACACACAGAAAAAAAAAAACAGCGTAAGTTTCTAGGTTGTGGTTTCGCGCCTGTGCTTCCATGTTCGGCATGTGATAAAGCTTGGGCAGTTTTCTGTGAATAAACTCTAGTTTGAAGTGAGCGATGCTTCGTGTAATATTCCTCATGTAGATACTACTAAGTGCTTCTTCAAGAGAGAAAGGAAGAGAAAAGTCAGCCCCGTGACTCTCTGCTTCAGCGAGTGACACATCAACAGTAGCTCTCAAGGGATGGGGGTGAGGAGGGATCAAAAGGGTAGGAATAAAGGTTTAGAGAAGAGAAAGAGGCGTGGGCTGGTAAGCCAGAGAGAGCGACGACAAATCGAGTAATAGGAAAGATGGAAGCACGGTCACAGGAGTCCGAGGACGGGGCACCGCTTGCGAGAGCTCTTGTCGGCGTCGGTAGATGGCGTAGGGCGAGCCCAGTCGGCCAGAGCTACGCTGACGCCGGGTAGATCGCGAGGGCACAACCGATCGGCACGGAATCCAGCAAGCGAGTGCTTGTAGCTTGTCTGTTTCGCCCTCTTAAATACACGACATGGATCAGTACACGTAAACATTCTACTGCACTATGGCCTCATCAAGTGTGAGGTCCACGGGACAGATTTATGCTCTCCCATAGTAGAGTACACATTACTCAGAATCGTATACCACTTTTCTTGACACACAAACTCGCCCAAATATATGTACTTCTAAACATGTCATGATTCGATTGAATTTTTCGGACAATAGAAGGCATTGCCGGCGGTCAAGAGAGACGGAGGTTCTTTGCCTACTGATGGTCCTACTCGCGTTGAGCGTAACAGCAGCTATGCTTACTTATCCAAACACAATCAAAATGCAAAATACATCAAACATACAAACGAAAGGAGCAGTCAGATTGACCAGAAAACGATTGACATTATCATATAATGTCAATGCAAACAGCCTGAGGTACTGTTGTTTTAGCGTAGTTGCCGCATTTTGGCACAGATAGGTTCGAAAAGGGTAAATTATGAATCATTGCAATGCTCACATATATACACAAATATATACATACACGTAGTATGGGACACTGTAGCCGACTGAACCATGGCCTAAAGTGTATGTACTCAGAATTTTGAATAGCCACCAAATTTTCGTCTTGAAAAAAAAAAAAACATTACAGTTGGCGCTAGATTGTGCCAGTTATGTTATTCGAGGGTGCTTATTTCCCGATTTTATGATTTGTTGCGTTCGGCGTCTGAAGGCGCCGTCCACGCCGCTTTTTTAATCTCGGCGAAACCGTGGAAATGAAACTTGCACCAAAGCGCGAACTATGCTGTCTTGTAAGGCCATTTACTTTAAATAAAGAGAGTGAAGGGAAAGAGCCATTAAGGAAGGGGATAGAGGAATGATGATAAAGCAGAAAAGCTAGCCGGATCAGAAGCTTCTGGTTTTCTACCCTAGGTTAAGGGAAACGAAGATAGTGCCGGTGAAGATTCCCGGGCCACAGAGCGGAGTCATGACATATTGCGCTGGTGTCCGAGTGGCCGGGACACTGTCGGTAGCCATAGCAGCGGAACCAATGTGACATTCGCTGTGGAGATCCATGTCCGACTTCCGCAGAGACTACCCCGCACCTCGACCGAAACGATGCGCGTATAGAGTTGCTGTTGCAGACGCCCTAAGCTAAGTGTGACACAATATGACTGCAACCAGTAAAATGCGAATCATTTAGGCGGTGGTGGAGGATCACAGCTCATCAACTCAATAGCATTTAGTAGTCTTAGTCGTGACTGTTCCCCTACGATTATGAGCTGTTTTAGGCTGAACTTGTTTTTATTTATTTGGGGGGGGGGGGGGTGAGGGATATTGTAGAAGCGTCGATACTACCATTCGGTATGTCTATAGTGTTTAAAGGAACGAATGTTTAGAGAAGATTGCGCAACTACTCTTATAGACCCGGAGTGTTTTTCGAACAAGACGCGTCTTTTGCGAAATATGTATTCTCGCTGTAAATACTGTTGCATTTTCGTTGGGAAGGGATCGAGGTTGGAAACCCGTCCAATATAGTGGTTCACATCAATTGTATTTTGGCTGTTCCACGTAAGTCTGCGACTTTACATCTCATAATAAAAATATTACCCAGATTTTCATATGATGTCCGCTATCTTCATTTTAGCGAGAATGAGGACGCTCTAAGTAATATTCGGGATTATGTAGGTCAATTTGAGGAAAGTAACCAAAGTTGCGTAATAAATGCAGCGTAAGGATGTGCACATCTTTGATTACGTTATAGTGCAACAGAAGCAAGCAGGATTGCTCTCACGCTCTTTTTCTCTCTCTCTCCGAGTTTATATATATATATATATATATATATATATATATATGAATAAAAAACACGTCGAAAAAAACGGCCGTGGGACCGGCCCCTTCGTCAGAAATGTTATTCTGACGAAGGCCGGTCCCATGGCCGAAACGTAAAGAAACCTGTCCGTTTTTCGACGTGTGTCTTCTTTTTATTCATACTATTTTCCGGCGTCCAAGAATTTATTCTCTGCAATTATATATATATATATATATAAGGTATATCGGGGTTACGAACGGCGCAATAACCTGCGAGGAAGTTCAGCTGTAGTGAATTTTCATCTCAGCGCAAACGAGAACAACCTAATCCTTCCGCCCATTTTCACCTGCTCGTTGAAACAAGGCGCGAAGGCGCATGCCGGGGCTACACGCAATCACTCACCTTCGCACTTTTTTTTTTTCAGACGACGCTCCACCTGCGCTCACACAGGAAATCCCGCCACCGGCAAAGATCGATATTCCCAAGATAATCATCACGAGTGTCTCCGTCGTCGGGACTTCGCTATTGTTTCTCAACATCATCCTAGTCATTTGCTTCGTTCGCAAGAGGAGGAAGAAGCGACTGGAGGAAGGTGAGTGCAACTCGCCGAATCGCCTAACGTTTCTTTATTCTCCCTTTTTCTTCTTCTTCTTCAATCGCGCTGTCCTCCCGAACATCGTTCTTCGCTCGGATGTTCACGAGGGTGACCCAGTTTTGATTTCGGCGCTGGTTTATTTGTTCTTCAGTATTCGCTGAGCAACAAGGAGATATTTTATGTAATTCCCTTCCTTGTTGCTTGCCCCTTGTTTGCGCAGCCGTTATTGTTTCGGAAACAAGTCATTTCGCGGTTCGCGAACCTCCTGCCAAAACTGAGTCGAACTTCCATTTGCACATTTTCGGAGTGCCTCCATGTTTCTAGAAATGAACCGGGACGAAGAGGACGAAAGGGAAAAGCCGATAATGTACACTGAACGTAACAGCCCCGGATTTTTTTTTCCTTTTTTGGTGTGTTTTCATCCACAAGGTCGCGTTTTCGCTGTAGGGCACCAATAATGTTTGACGAAAGTTCTTGCACGTTGTTCAGTGAATTCTAAAGCGCGCATTTCACCATTTGTGTAAATGTGTGTGTGCGCGTGTGTGTGTGCATGTGCGTGTGCGTGTGTTGTACAACCTGCGGTAAATAGGGCGCAGAGCCGTGCGTGGTCTTGCCATTGTTGTCATGCGCGTATTTTCGTCCTATTGTCTCCGATAGGAGAACTGCGCGCGCGAAGATTTGCTGCTGATTGCAACATTCTCTCTTGCTCTCGCACCGGCATGGTGTGCTTACATTTGGCGATCGATGTAGCCGCTGTACTCTTCAAATGAGATGGCTCGTTGCGAGGAATAACGTACCCGCGTAAGGGAGAGAGGGCGGCCGAACAAAAGAACAATATAAAGAGAGAACGAAGAAGAGAACAGAATGGCGAGATCGGTCCGCAGCGATGTATTTGGAAGTGTAGTCTTGTAGCGAGTATTTGTTCGAGTGATTGCAATATTGCACTATAGAGTCAGGCTTGCGGAATGTCTTTCGAACCACGACTGCTCTGTCCGGTTTTGCGCTTTGATGAATCCTCTGGTTTCTGGTGTCGCAAACACGCCGATCGAGGCTGGATCCGTTTCCAATTAGTCGCAGCGTATTCAGATTACAGCAATAGCAGAGATTTGGCTAATAGCTAGCGTTGTGGTACCGCAGCAAGCTTGCTTCAGGTTGCGAAATGTGCGTTGTCGATCTCTCGCGCTCCCGTATGCCGTTGCTCTACAGGTATTTATTCGTATGCCTACGTCGCACCAATTACGCCTTGACTGGAAGCGTTGCTGTGGAAAACGTAAATTGCCCACATGATGAGTGTACGTCATGTCTGTTTAATCTTCTTAGTCAAATTTGTCGTTTTTGTCAGTAATAACGACTGACTAACCATCAAAGCGATTCTTTAGTTATCTGCTACACCACAGCTTCTTCCAGCAAATGCCGAATAGTGTAATTATATGCTTAATTAATTTGGCACTTTGAAATTTTAGTTTATAATTGCGAATGCAGTCACTATTAGTCCCGAGAACGAACACTGGCGTCGCTGTTGTGGCCGCGATGTGACGTCATGGTGAGGACTCGCCGGTACCGCCACCGCTTTTGACCCTTTTCTGCGTCCGCTCTTCAGCAATACGCTGGTGATTACTTCTCATTTTCGCGATGCTAATCTGCAGGTACCAGGTGAAAGGTTTTATAACTATTGAAATATATTTAAGCTGTAGAAAATTATAATAATACAGCTTAGAATAGGCCTACTCGCCGTCGAATGAAAAGTTCACTGTGAAAAAATGGCGCAGCAGAACAGCAAGTCATTCATTGTTTTCACTGTGTACTAAAAAAAAATCTGTGGTATGAAAATATACTAAAAGATTCTAACTTCGATAGATTTATGTATAGACTTCGGGGTTAAAACATTTGTGCCAAAATATTTAAAATGAAATTACGAAGTTTTCAGTACAATAAATGCATATACGTTTTCCCTGAAACTTACGTCTGCCTCTTCACATAATCTAGATGATTTGAGAGAATAGGGCTTTCTCCAACAGCAGATTTCACATTATTTTGTCTGTCATTAACAATCACTTCACATATTCTGAAAGTTACTCAAATACTTCCGCACACGCAGCAATTTCGGAAGGGTAATCATACAACTAAAAAAAAATGATTTTTGAGGTGACTGTGTAAACTGGCACATATGAACGTGACAGCAGCTGTGATGTTGCACGATGGCACAACCTGGTAGCAGTTGGAGTCTCTGCACTTATATAAACTTCCTCAAAAATTTCAGTGAAGTGATGTACCAAAATTATTGCGAGAAAAACATAAAACTTAAGAACACGGTGGTGTCGAGTCGGTGGTGGCAAGTACGCGAGGAAACGTGACACAATATCTACGGTGATGTCGAGCGCAATCGAGATAGTTTGTGAGATTCCACACTGCACGCGTGTGTGCGTGCTGCTTGGCATACCAGCAAAAACACATAACTGAATGTCTCCGATACAATGAACTTCAGTGCAGGCGAAACCCTCATATTTCTTACGAGCAATCGCCCACGCACAACCTAACCTAATGGTACAAATACGGGGCCTTACGTGTCGAAACCATGACCATCATTATGCCGGAAAATTTTGCTGTACATCTAAGCAGAAGCGTGTTCTTGCCTTCCAATGACGTCGGGTAGCGTGGCCTGGAATGAAACCCATCCATAGCAGCGCGACACAAACCCGATTTCAAATCGCGTACGACTGAGCGCGAGAGCCGTTGTCGATTGTGCAAAAGCTCGAGTAAAATTTTTTATTGAAATAACAATTATGTGGACAGTCTCGACTGGTTTTTGCCATCGACACACACACACACACACACACACACACACACACACACACACATATATATATATATATATATATATATATATATATATATATATATATATATATATATATATATATATATATATATATATATTGAAACTCAAGAAAGAAAAAATCCGCCCGCGCTTGGCACCCAGCTCGTCACGATGCGGCGCACTTTGCCCCGTGGATGGGGGCCGAGGGTTTAGGACCTTGTGCGCGCGCGCTTACCCTTCGGTGGGGAAAATTGTGTGCCTTGGCCTTTAATTGGTATGTGGGGTTTAGCGTCCCAAAAGCACCATATGATTATGACAGACGTCGTAATGAAGGGCTCCGGAAATTTCGACCACCTGGGGTTCTTTAACGTGCGCCCAAATCTGAGCACACGGGCCTACAACATATCCGCCTCCATCGGAAATGCAGCCTCCGCAGCCGGGATTCGATACCGCGACCTGCGGGTCAGCAACCGAGTACCTTAGCCACTAGACCACCACGGCGGGGCGGCCTTGGGCTTTCACCAGAAAGATTGTGTTTAGTTGCCGGGCGCACAAAGATCACTTCGCTCGCTGGCCAGGCCCTGTTTGCGAAAAGAGCACGCTTTTCAAACATAGCGAAGTAACACTGGGCACTCGTTAGTTCGCACTCATATGTGTCCCTTTGGGTACGTTTCGTGTGTCGTTTTAAGTGTGAATACACTTTATAAGCGACCCCAAACCATCCACCGCCGTCGGCGGTGTCTGCAGTCTTCTCTCTATCTTTAAAAGAAAGAGGACTTGGCGGGCCGCAGCGCGACGCTCTACCGAATAAGCCACGGACGCGACGCTGATATCGGTGTCAGTAATGCGCCTTATACCCCCTCCCCCTTCGCTCGCTCCTCCGCTCTCCTCACTCGCTGCAGCTGCGCGCGCACCCCTCTCTCTCGCGCGCCCGCCTTCTCTCTCAGTCTCCCGTCGAGAGCGGGTCGTGAGGGGGAGTAAAGTTAAAATCCGTTGGCATCCGCCAGTGAGTTAACGTAAACTCCCCCGTGTGATCAAATTGCGATTCCCAGGAACCATTACACCATAAAGGCACCATAGTGTGATTAATATATATAATAGTGCGAATTAATAAATACCCCTCATAGCATCACCCCGTGTATTCGCACTTAACCATGTTCACCCTCGGAGAAATGCTTGGGAGTTTTTTGTTTAAACAGCGCGTTAAGCGTTGAGCTATAAACGTTGTCAGTTAGCGTTCGTCCAATGTGTGTTGTTTTCGAGCGTCATTTGTGCGTGAGCAGCGCGCTGCACGTTTCGATCTGCTAGCTGTTCTCAGCGTTACATTCTAAGCTGTTGCTATCGCATTCATCACTTCACCCTTGCGGTAAAACTGTGACTTTATTGTTTTATCAAGAACATTATCAATGCTGTTTTCGTCAGTCATCTGTAGCTTTAGACTAGCGGAAAGCGATCGCAAACAATGGAACAGCGCATGAGGCTATCGCATGTTACGTAGGCGCGCAACGGTGGCCGCCGAAGTGTTCGCGCCGTGACGTCACCCAGTCCTCCCGCCAGGCGGTGCCATTCCCAAGGTTTCGGGGCTTATACGCACTTTCACATAGGCTTTCCATGTTGTTTGTGTTCTGTAGTTGACAACAATGATTGTATGAGTGCACGTGCATTCGTATCCCGGCTGCGGCGGCTGCATTTCCGATGGAGGCGGAAATGTTGTAGGCCCGTGTACTCAGATTTGGGTGCACGTTAAGGAACCCCAGGTGGTCGAAATTTCCGGAGCCCTCCACTACGGCGTGTCTCATAATCATATGGTGGTTTTGGGACGTTAAACCCCACATATCAAATCAATGAGCGCACGTGCATGCCGTAAGTTGCTTGTACAATGTTTCATTCGGTCTGCCCTGCTTGACGATGTGGTGTTCCTTTCTTTTCGGCAAGAAGAGAGTGACCAGTCGAGCAAGACCGCCACGATCGAGATGTACGCGCCGAGCAGCTACAATGAGACTATGAACGGCGAGACGGTCAGTTCCACGTCCGAGAAGAGCGAGGCTTACTCCAATGAGCACAGCGCTGAATACTCGGTGAGCACCACCCATGTACTACCCATCTATACCGTGTGCCTCTACACAGTCACCATTGTCCAGAGGTCCTTGCGCTGGCATGCGCTCTACAGCGCGCACTGAGCGTTCTTTCTAAGGACGAATACAGTGAGATGCGGAAAGCTTCATACCGGAAACGGAGGCAGCTCCGTAAACGGATGTAAAGTTAGACAAGTGGGTATATTCTAAAGTAAAACGAGTATTAATGTGTGTCACTTTGTCCCAGAATAATACAGAATAATAATGATCATGTATCTGACGCGCGTTTTCTTTCTTTCTATTCTCGCCGTGCGCCTGTGTAGGGTTGTCACTGGTGGCTACTCTTTGCCAAATCGGCGAATTTGTGAGGCCCTTGGCGACCTAAAATTATGGGTGGTGACATGGCGAATTTTGTCGGATTTCCTTTTAGGGTTCAACTAAGTTATGCATTTTGTACTCAGTGTCTTCAAGACGAATAGACCACAACATTTGTTTTTATTTTCCGTAATTTTACACCCACCATAGAAGGTGCACTTTATGCGCAATCAAATACGTCATCCTGTTTCTCGTGTGTATCTTCTAATTCACCTAGATGCTGCAGGCACTCGCGTACTCATGTGTCCAACAGCAACCTCCCAACAATTTTGGTCAGTGAACTGCTTTGCGCGCAGTGGGGTGGTGGTGTTATACTACATTTTTCAGGAGCTTTGAGAGCTTTGAGGCGTCTTCAAAGTTTTGCGCCTGAATTGGCTAGGTGGCGGTTAGGCCGCGAGTACGGACCGGGGCTACAAGTTCAAGTGAATTATTTGCCGAGGTGTACGAAGCATTCAGTGCTTCTACACATTCGAGCTGCAGCTTGTAAGGCCGTTTATTCTTCTCCACGAACCAGAGTTCGTCAGTCCTACCAGCTTCGAAACTCCGTGCATCTGTCAAAATCTCAAAAAGGCTGCTTTCTGTCTTATCATGTCGTCGAAGAAGCAAACAAGTATATATACTGCATTCTCTCGTGTCTTGCGTTGCACGTAACAGCAGGTTTGATGAAGCGAACAATCTGTTTAGATTTGCGCTTTACTTTTTGCCGACGCTGCTGCGGCCACAGAGATCTTCGACCTCTCTGAACGCACCTGTCCCAATTAGGGCAGCGGTAGCTGTCGCAATCACATCGACGGCTTCAGCAATGCGGCGAGTTTTTGGTAGCGGCTGTTAGCTGACGCTTCGGTTCGTTAACATTTGCAGGTTGAACTTTTCGGGACGAAGTTATGCAAGTGATATAATTAAGGAACTGCAGATGAACACAACAGCACAAACCTCATAAGTTGATAGTGTTAGGAGGTTCTACCTGCCAGCCTGTGTGACTTGTCAAGCCCATACAAGAGCGATCATCAAATGCAACTACCTTTTCTTTTCTTTTTTTTTTCACTTCGTGCTAACCCAGGAGGAATCGAGCAAACCCGCCGCGGCGACGTACTTGATCGATCAGGCGAGCGACAGCTACGTTCCTGACGGGTCGCTGCACTATGCCCCGTACAACCGCTACGGCGACGAAGGTAAGAAGTGCCCTGATCTTTTTACTCGACACACCAGCTGAAAATTTTGTAGGCACTGCCACTCTCACGTGGTGTCATAGCCGTGGTGTCCTAAAGCTTACTTTTACTGTCGGTCTCATTATCAAGTTTATCGCTAAGAGTCATCTTCGTTCAGAGATATGTAAAACAACCGAAAGAAGCCATGGTAGTTGAGCTATTAACAAAGCTTTTGCCTACACCAACTAAGCTAATCCCCGCAGAAGCCTCAAGGCGCTTACTAAACTATTTTGTAATTTGTCACATGACTGAACTTTCAGGTTTTCAGATGGACCCTCCTCATGGTCGTGAACTATGCGAGGCGCTCAACAAAAGTATCGCCACAAGTTACTGCGATGTTCTTAGCGTATTTGCACGAAGCTACTTAGTTAGTAATCAGAATATCACTTGTAAGAAAATTACAAAATGATTATCTGTGCATTTCTGAAAAAAAATCTTACATTTTCTTACTGTACCGTAGCATTGTGGTTATAATTAATACTACACTTCCTAGACATCTCTTCCAAGGAGTTACATCTGGTTTGAGTGTATACGTGGCTGTATAGGCAGTTATGCCACTTCTTAACGCGTTTACGAGTGCATGAAATCGGATTCCGGTGATGGTGCTTCTGTTAACTGCTTTAACTAAAACGACATGGTTCTGCCACCCATCAGTGGCTCTGCGTTCTGAAAAAAAAAAAAAAAAACGTTCGTTTCTTAACATTTCTGCCAGATGGCGCCAAATCTGACGCAGCGCCTTCAGGCAGAAGAATATCGTCTTGCGACAGCTTTTGCAGTGAAGCATAGAGATACCCGGCCAATTTTTTTGAGTATATGTTGTGGATTATCGCTCGTTGATAGCAGTTATATAAAAACAGTGATTATAAATTGGCATCTCCTACTCCGCCTTGTTTGGAATCGAAGAAGCAGAAAAACAAGGAAGAATAACTCATAAGGTGTGCCGCAATTATGTCATATCTTTACACGCTCTTCTGGATGGCCGCATCGCTTCCTATACATTGCTCAATGAAAGTCCAACCCGCGCACAAATTGAACCATCGTTCACTGTTTTTGGGACGACAAACGTTAGAAAAAAGATTTTAAAAAAGACGGAAAAGAAGAACAAGAAAAAAATAAAGACAACGTGCAAACTGAAGGCAGAGAACATCTCTTTCCCCAGCAGCTAGTGCCTCTTCCTTTGTACACCGCTTGCACCCTTTTAAGCGGCACGGAACGTTTCACGCATCCTTTCTTATAAGTTTCCGGATTTCTTCGTTTAGAGCCCACTTTGAGTTTAGCTTAAAATTGTTTGATATTGTTCACATCTTGCGTTTTATCTCGCCCCCCCTCCCCCCATCATTTGTCTGCACCATTTACGCGATGAAACATGGCTTTAACGAGAAGTGCCAGCGATCTTCACAGCGCGATCTCATCATGATTGCTGCTAAGAAAAGAAAAAAAAAGAAACATTGAAAAAAAAGGAGAGAAGGCCGACACGGATAAGGTTGCAAGGCTTGGACATAAACGCTGCTGTAGTTCGCGTTCTTCTTGCGGACTCGCCTTTTCCCGGTTTCTCACCACGTGCGCATAATGCGCCTTCAGCAATGCGGCGAGTTTTTGGTAGCGGCTGTTAGCTGACGCTTCGGTTCGTTAACATTTGCAGGTTGAACTTTTCGGGACGAAGTTATGCAAGTGATATAATTAAGGAACTGCAGATGAACACAACAGCACAAACCTCATAAGTTGATAGTGTTAGGAGGTTCTACCTGCCAGCCTGTGTGACTTGTCAAGCCATACAAGAGCGATCATCAAGCAACTACCTTTCTTTTCTTTTTTTTTCCACTTCGTGCTAACCCAGGAGGAATCGAGCAAACCCGCCGCGGCGACGTACTTGATCGATCAGGCGAGCGACAGCTACGTTCCTGACGGGTCGCTGCACTATGCCCCTTACAACCGCTACGGCGACCGAAGGTAAGAAGTGCCCGATCTTTTACTCGACACACCAGCTGAAAATTTTGTAGGCACTGCCACTCTCACGTGGTGTCATAGCCGTGGTGTCCTAAAGCTTACTTTTTACTGTCGGTCTATTATCAAGTTATCGCTAAGAGTCATCTTCGTTCAGAGATATGTAAAACAACCGAAACAGACGCCATGGTAGTTGAGCTATTAACAAAGCTTTTGCCTACACCAACTAAGCTAATCCCCGCAGAAGCCTCAAGGCGCTTACTAAACTATTTGTAATTGTCACATGACTGAACTTCAGGTTTTCAGATGGGACCCTCCTCATGGTCGTGAACTATGCGAGGCGCTCAACAAAAGTATCGCCACAAGTTACTGCGATGTTCTTAGCGTATTTGCACGAAGCTACTTAGTTAGTAATCAGAATATCACTTGTAAGAAAATTACAAAATGATTATCTGTGCATTTCTGAAAAAAAAATCTTACATTTTCTTACTGTACCGTAGCATTGTGGTTATAATTAATACTACACTTCCTAGACATCTCTTCCAAGGAGTTACATCTGGTTTGAGTGTATACGTGGCTGTATAGGCAGTTATGCCACTTCTTAACGCGTTTACGAGTGCATGAAATCGGATTCCGGTGATGGTGCTTCTGTTAACTGCTTTAACTAAACGACATGGTTCTGCCACCCATCAGTGGCTCTGCGTTCTGAAAAAAAAAAAAAAAAAACGTTCGTTTCTTAACATTTCTGCCAGATGGCGCCAAATCTGACGCAGCGCCTTCAGGCAGAAGAATATCGTCTTGCGACAGCTTTTGCAGTGAAGCATAGAGATACCCGGCCAATTTTTTTTTGAGTATATGTTGTGGATTATCGCTCGTTGATAGCAGTTATATAAAAACAGTGATTATAAATTGGCATCTCCTACTCCGCCTTGTTTGGAATCGAAGAAGCAGAAAAACAAGGAAGAATAACTCATAAGGTGTGCCGCAATTATGTCATATCTTTACACGCTCTTCTGGATGGCCGCATCGCTTCCTATACATTGCTCAATGAAAGTCCAACCGCGCACAAATTGAACCATCGTTCACTGTTTTTTGGACGACAAACGTTAGAAAAAAGATTTTAAAAAAGACGGAAAAGAAGAACAAGAAAAAAATAAAGACAACGTGCAAACTGAAGGCAGAGAACATCTCTTTCCCCAGCAGCTAGTGCCTCTTCCTTTGTACACCGCTTTGCACCCTTTTAAGCGGCACGGAACGTTTCACGCATCCTTTCCTTATAAAGTTTCCGGATTTCTTCGTTTAGAGCCCACTTTTAGTTTAGCTTAAAATTGTTTGATATTGTTCACATCTTGCGTTTTATCTCGCCCCCCCTCCCCCCCATCATTTGTCTGCACCATTTACGCGATGAAACATGGCTTTAACGAGAAGTGCCAGCGATCTTCACAGCGCGATCTCATCATGATTGCTGCTAAGAAAAGAAAAAAAAGAAACATTGAAAAAAAAAGGAGAGAAGGCCGACACGGATAAGGTTGCAAGGCTTGGACATAAACGCTGCTGTAGTTCGCGTTCTTCTTGCGGACTCGCCTTTTCCCGGTTTCTCACCACGTGCGCATAATGCGCCTTGATATGCATATTTCTAGCTTTCGTTGGCTCCACGCTTATTCCCTCGTTTCTTTTTTTTTCTTTTCACCGGTGATTAAGCGCCCGCTTGGGAACAAGCCTAACGAGAAGATCGTTCTAGAGGAAAAGAATGCAAACTAGGAATTAGAAACGATGTACATCGGGGACGAGGAAGGAAAATAAGGTGGATAGATGCAAAACAGCAAAAGACCGAGGCCTTTTGCTGTTTGCGCGTTCTCGCAATTTGTTTTTTTTTTCTGTCTGTCGCGAATACTTTGTAATACAGGACACGGAGACTAATTTGGTGCTCTAATGCAAACTCCCAAGTGAGTCACCTTGCGGTAGGTGTAGCACTGTACCTTTGAATTACGAGGGAAACAAATAAAAAATACGTCTGCATTCACTGGCTGCGCAAGTAGGATGATGGTCAATAATTAGGTCATGCAGATGATTGGGGTGGCTTCTAATTTTTGCTTTTTTCAAGCAACAACTTTTGTTGTGGTGTCTTGAGCTTGATTCATAGTCATCTGCGATTTTAGTGGACTGTCTTTAAAGTATTAGTTGTGCCACTCAAAACGCGCCATATCAGTGAGCGACATTCCGTAATGGTGTCGGAACTTTTTTTTTTACAGAGTTTGTTTTCTGTTTGCCATGTTTGCACCATAGCTGAATTTTACAAAAAAAAAACAGCTTGAAAGATTCGCATGCAAGGATTCCTGTAAAGTCACGGCAAGTTTGCCGCACGTGGCATCAGTAACACCTTTACATGTTATGTGTGGCATGTTCGTAGTTTTTTCAGCTGCTTATGTGTAATGTAGAGTAACCTTCGTTTCCGAACAGTGTCATTGCAGAGTGAAATGCTCAATCAACTGAAGGTTTTCGCGTACGATAAGGACGGTATGATAGTGGGGCACACCATAATGACAGACACTGGGCACATCTCGGTGACCCATGGTTTTTTCAGATTGCATATAAATCGAAGTTCGCAAAATCCTCCTTCAAGAGCAGCACTTCCCTTATTTTGCAGGGCATTGCCTTCCCCGGGAAGTCTTGGCCCAAAACTGCGCTGAAATTACTTGCAGAAAAGAACACAGGAAATGAAACGAAGATGAACGTTATGTACACCCTCATTTCATTCCTGTTGAACCTTTTTTCCACAGAGAAGATTCTTTGAACAGCGTTTGTGGACTATCTTCGCCAGTGTGAACACAAACGCACTTGCTCAGGCTCGGGAGTACACCTACGATTGCCTGAACGAAGCATTCCGTAAGGCTGACCTTGTAAGCCTATGTAGAGGAAGGAAATTAAGGCATCAATCGGACCCGCAGCGTGGCTTTTCCCATCTCCTCTTAAGGCTTGTCTTTCACGCGCGATTAGTGTGCAATGAAGCTCATCGGCAT